TCAAATTGTAGTACTTTTTTGTTTCTTTGGGTATTGTTGATTTTTTTGTTGTTTTTGTTTTACTTATTTGTTTTTTATTTAGTTTTGGTTTATTTTGTTTATAGTGGGCCAGAATTGATTTCAAATAATTAGTTAACTAAAGTCTGGCAAGATGGTTCATCAAGTAAAGGTACTTGCTGCCAAGCTTAACAACCTGAGTTTGATCCCTAGGACCCACATGGTAGAGGGAGAGAGCCAACTTTCATAGGTTGCCCTCTGGCCACTCCACTTATGCCACCATAGATAGATATCATTAAAATCTTTAAGTAATAAAATGAGTTAATTCAGTGAGTGAGTGCCACATATCTGTAATGCCTACCATTTTCAGGAAGTTAGAGAGTTGTTGGTCAGTCTGAGGCTATATGCGAGAGACCTTTTTCAAAATAAAAAAGCTACCTCTGCTAAGATCTAATCCAGTGGCTTTTGAGTTGAGAATAATAGCATGACACACATACTTTGGGCAGGTAGAGGGAAGAATGGATGAGCAGGATCTCATAATATGGGTAGAAAGGCAGAAAATGGAGTTGGCTCAGGACTTTTTGCTACCTCTGTGACCTTAGCATGTTTCTTCTTTGAGCTCACTTTATAAAGACTTTTACTATTTTATTCATCTCTCTTTCCTGTGCTAGGGATGGAACCAGGGCCTTGCAGGCACTAGGAAGAGCCTTCACAACAGGATCATACCCTTTCTCTAGAAAATACCTTGTCTGCCTATAGAACTTGAACTTTTTGATTGGTTAGTTGTTTGGAGTCAGGTCTTGGCACATGATGAGACCTTCTTGAGAAACACTTGATTGGTGTTCGAGAGCTCTGTCTGCTTTCAGGGTGGTGGCCATGTGTATTGTTGTATATTGCTGCACATACCTTGAGAATGGGCCTACGTAGAGGGAGGGGTGGACTCAATGGAACAGAGGAGATCTTAGAGGCTGAAGGAGAGTCAGCAAGGCACCTGACACTGAAGGAACTTAGTGGAAAGAACCAAGATCTTAAGAGTTTTTTGTGTTGCCAGGGTAGAAACCAGAGTAGAACCTACTCAACTGTCTGTCTTTCCCTGGGCCTGTGCTGTGCATCCAGAGCTGGGTGTAGAACCAGACATGGAGCTTCCTTTGAGTGGCCCGGGAGATGAAAGCTAGCTACCCAAAGCTAGCCAGAGCACAATGAAGGCTATGACTTCTTCCCACCCGCTGACTTCCCACCAACCTCCTGTTAAGGGCCCTATCTCAACCCTCCCCAGCTGGATGTAGACTATAATTTTGGGGCAAAAGTCTTGTCTGTTCCCATTCTAGCTCCCAAATGATTGACACAAAGATTATTAAAGGACTGCAAGCCTATGTTGGGCAGATCCTGAGCTATTTTAATCCTCTAAGCTATCGTATTTCCCAGCCATGTGGTCCTTTCCCTTCAATCTTAGTCTGACCCTGGCTTGCTCTGTTCCTTGTGGCAAATCTCTTGGTGACCTGCTTATCATGCTCATCAGGACTCCCCCTGGCACCTCTCTACATCGTCACTTCTTTTCCTCCTTCCACGTGTGTGGGTCAAAGCTCTCGAACCGTGGTTACAGTGGGGAGAGAGAGAGAGCCCCGCAGACGGCTGGGCCGGAGAAAGCGGGCCCAGCGTGCCGGCAAGACACGGGGCAGGGGTCACGCTAGTGTACCATGGCCCCCCGCTGAATGGGGGGCGGGGAAGGGCGAAGGCGAAGGCGGTGCACGGATCACTGCTGCAGGGGGGAGGTGCTCCGCAGACGGCTGCAACAGGAGTATAGGGAGAGAGCCAGTCCCCTGGGCTGCTGAAACAGGGGCACACACAAGTTTTGACTTACACAAAGAGTCCAGAATTGCAGGAGACACGTGGAGTTGAAGGCATTTATTGACATAGCAGTGGGTTTGAATGGTGGCGTGCTCTCCCAAAAAATGCCAGAAGGGGTTTGTTTATATTGGAAGGGGGAGGGGGCGGGGCCAGGGCCTTTAGATAAATCTTGAGGCAGAGACCTTCTCTCCCCCCCCCCACCCCCACCCCATCCTCTACCTGGGCCTTACATTACATGTCAGGTCTCTGGGGGTGTGGCCAAACACCTCAGGATTCCACAGTCCCACACACGTGGTCCTCTCTTCCTTTCTTTCTACCTGGGACCCCCTGACTTAGATAGGAAGTGCTGACTATTATATTGTGCCCAGCCATAGGCTGATCAGCATTTTATATTAAACAATCAGAGATAATTGGGGCACATTCTTTACACAACATTGATACAGGAGATGTTCAATAATCAGTGCACAAGAGCGCCCCCAACAGCTGTGCTTCAAAGCTTACCTTCAGAAACACGGAGCAGCCAACCTTCAAGAGCTGTACCAGAAAATTCCTTCTTTGGCCTCCTGCAGCTTGACTTCCACTTTTCTTGAGTTGGATTTTCTTCTACTTCTTAGTCTCCCCTTATGCATCACACACCAAATAGAAGCATATTAGCCAGGTTGCAACTAAAAATTCCCGTAGGTACCCAGTAAGAGGCAGCAATGACTGACTACCCAGTGACAATAATCGTACGGGGAATGATTACTATAACCAGGACCCTGTCTGCAGGGGCCATGAGACTAGAGTCCTGTGGGCTACAATATCAAAACAGAACTGCCTCTCACTCTCCACAGCCAGTCAGACAGACAGCCCAAGGGCACCTAGGAGCTTTTGGAGAGGTGGTGACTTTGACAAACCCTAGAATGCACACCCCTTGAATGCAGCCTTCATAGTGGGCTCCCCGTGTCAGTGATCCCACCACCCCTCCTTAACTGGATCTCAGCCACCTTTGGAGTTATCTCCAAGAGAGAAAGAAAAAAAAAATGAGAAAGTACAGAATCTCTCTGAGCTTTGATTTCCTCACCAAAGGCAGTGTGACCCAGAGTTCAAGGTTCTGGGAGCCTGGCAAGAAAAACCAAAATGAAAGTCTAAGGAAAACTAGAGCAGTCCTAAGAAAGGGCCACCCTGTAAAAAGCGCAAGCCCTGGCTCCTGCTGAACTACATTGCAGGGGAATCTACCCTGGGCCTGTCGCTGTCCTCTGTAATGGAGAAGGTGATGGTGTAGTGAAAGTGTAGGTGTCCTGGGAAGAGAGATGTTGCCCAGAGCCACAGAGCAGCGGTCCTGTCCTGTGTTCACCCCTCACAATGGAAGAAAAGATGTGGGGACAAGACCTCCAGGGGAGTGAAGGCCAAAAAGATTGGGTTGTGATTTTTGCCCTGGGAACCAGAGTTCTTCCAAGTCAGACACTTGGCATCAAGATAAAGAATGTACCAGTTCAGCCTCAAAGCCATACTGTGGGTGTGAGAGAGCCCTATACAACACCAGCCATCAGGCCATTTCTTCCTCTCCACGGCATTTTAACAAAGCAGAACACTGCTTTACAGCACCAGCACTGTGCACAAGGCAGGTTTTTCTGGGAAGCCAGCAGTGCTGCCTCCACTGTCTTAGCAAGGTTCTAGATGAAACACGCCTGGTACTCAAGGGTTCTGAGAAGTACCCCTTCCCCCAACTGGAATAACAGGAAAAGCTATGCTTCAGACATAAACAATCTACAGGAGTGTCCGCGCTTGGGTCAAGCACTGTGTTTATTTCTGCAAGTATTTCTCAAGCACCACATCAGAGGAGAGGACAGGAGTTTGCAGCGTCCTGCTCAGGCCCGGTCACTGTGGCAGCACTGGCAGATCTTCCTGCCATCCCAGCTCCTGGCACTCTTCAGAAAAAGTATTACCATGGCCTCTCATTCCCTTTCCTTATCCCGCCCTTTCTTTTGTCCTTTATTCCTTTCCCCTGAGAGGGGGATATTTCTTTGTGTCTTGGTGATAGATATGCCAAGTGTATGAGTTTTACATTTTGTACACCTGCCTAGGCTAAAGGTTTGATTCAGCCTCTCTTTGCTGATCTACTCCTCAGGACCACGGCTGGCATCTGCCCCACTCAGCTCAGAACCTGTCACTAACATGTGTTGGGCATCCCACTTAGCTCTTTGTGTTCATCCATGAGACTTGTTGGGGCCTCGTAAGTCTCAGCTCTGTTCCTTGGGTCTATGTCTGCATAGTGTAGAAAGGGCTCCCCTTATATGCACAGACTCGGCAGAGAATGGCAATGAGTTGCTCTAGTGAAAGCTGCTCCTTTTCTACTACTGCCTCATCTGTCAGAGGTGCCACTATTGGCTCCAGGGCCGTCCTTCTCACTGCTAAGTGCTTGACAGCCCTTATTTCTAATAGAGACAGAGTAGACCTTGGGCCACAGTGAGTTCAGTTAACAGTCATTGGCCAGAATGTGAGAACACTGTTCCATGTGGCTTTCATAGTTACTGTTAATTTTCACACCAAGTTGATGTGCTATTTACAAATAGCATTAGAAAATAAATGTTTTGTATAACAGTGTCTCTGTGTGTGTGTGTGTGTGTATGTGTATGCATATGTGTGTGTGTATTCATGTAGATTTAGATGTGTGTGTGTGTTTATGTGTTCATGTGGGTTTAGATATGTGTGCATGTGCGGGTGTTTGGAGACTAGAAGCAAACCTTGGGTGTTCTATAGTTACTATCCCCTTTGCTTTTTGTGATGAGGTCTCTCACTGGCCTAGAGCTCACCAATTGGGCTAAGCTGTCTGGCCAGTGGGCCAGGATTTTCTCAGTGCTAGAATTATAGTATGTGCCACATATTGTACATGGCATCTAGTGATTGAACTCAGGCCCTGATACTTGTGCAACAAGCATTTTACCTGCAGAAACATCTCTCCACCCTCAAAAAATGTATGTTGTGATATATCTATGCATGTTCAGTGTACACAGAACCCAGACAGGAGCTAAACCAAGGCAGTGACCAGGCCTGACATCACTGAGAAGGACACGGTGGTGGTGGCTGCAGACTCTCCCTTAAAGAGCCTTTAGGAAGAAGGCTCCCACTGAACAGCTTTGCCAAGGGCCATTTTTCTTCTTTCTCCATTCCAGGCATGGATCCTGAAAAACTAAAACGAATCCAGCTCCCAGTGCCAAGTGAGGCTGAGAAAACCACCTACAACCATCTGCTGGCCGAGAGACTCATCAGGATCATGAACAATGCTGCCCAACCAGGTACCCCTATCTTGGGGTATACAGGGGAACAGATTCCTAGCCGGGTGCATGAGCCATAGGTTCTAGATCCACTCTTTTTGAGAAGCTGGAGAACTCTCAGCCTCTCCTTTCCCCTGGCCACCATCATCTGCCTTCTGTTGCAGGGTCTCTGGAATTGTATACACCCTCAGGTGTGATCACACCTCTCTTCTCCCTCTACACCAGCCTTTCTTTTCTGCTTTCATCATGGCTGGGACCCTCCACTCTGGGGAGTCTGAAGCCACATTGTGGAGATGAACTAAGCTAAGAATCTAAGTGAATCAACAGGTTTGAAGGTTGGGTGAGGATACACTCTTGTGCCCAGTCTCTCCAGTGGTTCGACCCAGCACCCATCTGTAACCAGCCACTAAGGCAGTGATAGCAGTGGGATGAAGCTGTGGCCACAGTCTTTCCCAGCTAGAGTAAGGGGGATTTTAACTCCAGGAGATACGTGACTATGACTAGAGACATTTTGAACTGAATGACTAAGAATGTTCCTGGCCTAGTGCTAAACACCACAAGTTTCACAGGACCTGTACAGCTCAGAGTTGTCTGGCCTGGAATGTCACCAGTTGTGTGGCAGCTCTGCAAAGCCAAGAGAAAGATCACTAACAATGAGTGAATGTATGGGAGATAATCTGAAGGGAAGTATGGTTAGAGCAGCCTCATGTGGTAAGCCTGGACCAGGTCAACTGCAGTTGGTCAAGCACTGACTGGAGCAGCGTGTGTGTGGCTATGCTAGCAAGTGGGAAAGGGTCCTGGAGAGCCAGGTCATTGACCTCAGGGGACAGTAAGTATCTTAACAGCCATGGGATAGATGCTTTCTGATTTCATCCTACATACCAGCCAAGAGCCACAGCTGATGGTCTTCAAAGTCCCAGAAGCTGTAGACTGTGGAAATGGGGGTCTTGTGCTTGGAGAAAAGGTCAGGACAAGGCCAGCACTGGAGACCCACATGCATGGTCTGTAAAGGCCTAGGTGAAGAGAGGGGTGTTGTTGACTGAGCCCTTGAGACACTGCCTATAACTAGAAGTGACAAAGAAGAGTCACGCCAGGACCCTGAGCCAGGGTGTGACTCAAGACATTGGATCAGTTATTGCTGAGAAATTCATTTAAAGGAGGCAGAGCTTTTTCCTGGGACTGCAGTTGGGGTGAGCTTTGGGGGGTGGGGGGGGGACAGAGAAACAGTTGGAGCCACATAGGTGAGGGCACTGAGGGAACTGTGCTGTGGTCAAGGATAGGGTCAACTCTGGCTGGAACTTGTGAAGGTAGGAACTTGATTGCCAGCAGAGGGAGTAGAACTGCTCTGGAGAAACACAACCTCCGAGTGGAGAGGGATGGAAGGTCTAGAGTGGATGAGTGGGGCTGCAGAAGTGAGCAGAGATCAACCTTTCCTGGGCTTTTATCGTGCTTTGCATGTATATAGCTTTGGCATTTGTAAGCACAAATTTTTCTTCTTATCTGTTTCAACCTCACCTACATGGCATTAGTGGACTGTTGTCTAGGGGTATGTCCCTGGGGTGCCCCTGCTTGGACCTCAGTATCTTAAACCTCAGGGACAAAGCCCAAAGACTGTCTGCTCCCACACTTCCACCTTTCCTTAGAAATAAAGCGCAAAGACCTGTGGGGCAGTTGGCTTAATAGTAGTTGGCCTTAGGTTAGGCAATGGATAGCTTCCCTAGGAGGAAAGAGATGGCTTCCAGTAGCAAGTAGTTACCTTTCCAATCCAGAAAGTAGCATAGAGTCCCAAAAACATTATTAAGCCAGTGCCCGGCCCCAGCCCCACTGCCCTGATTTCATAAATCAGCCATTGTGCTTGTGTCTGCTTATCAGTTTCTGCTTATATAATTTAAACTATTCTAGGTTGGCTTTCTGTTAACTGTGACCAAATTGTGATGAGCTTCATGCTGTACTAGCCAGCACCCAGGCCTGGAGCTGGGTGCTCTGTAAACCCCCAGGAGGGAATCTCTACAGACACCCAGTATGCTCAGCCCTGTGGGAAGGAGAGTTGGAGCCCCTTTCTGGACACCTTCCAAAGACTGATGATGTCAGCACGGGTGGGAATGGCTAGTGCTGGCTGCTTGACATGCCTGCTCATTCAGGCTCCACAGTTGTACACGCTGTCACACACCCCAGCACATGGAGAGTCTGTGCTCTTCCAGCATACTATAGAACTGAACCTCACTGGCTCTGCTGGGCCCCATTGCCTGTTGTCACTGATCAGGAATAAGGGTGGGAACACGTAGGGCTCACAAGCCTGGGTGCTGAATGAAAGATGAACTAGGAGGGTCTGATGACTCTAAAGGGTGTAGATGGGTACTGTAGAGATAAGGGAGGAATAGGCAGAGGGGAGAGGCCAGGCTGAACATGGCCAGCAGACTGAAGTGGACCATGAAAGGAGAGAGGAAGAGAAAAAGCAAGAGAAGAGTGGCCATCCAAGAGAGGTAGCCTGGGCAAGAGACTAGTGTAGCCAAAATGGCTGACTTCTATAGGAATCAAGCTGGGGAAAGGAAAATGGAAGCCAGTCCCTGAGAGGGAGAAGTTTAGGGTTGTGGGTGGGATGAGAAGTGCTGAGTGACACTTGTCCTGAGTTTGAGACTTAGCAGGTGAGATGGCCCAATTTTACTAAGTCACATGACCCACAGTGGGTCATATAGAACATACTGGACTATATCCACACCTGGAGGAGGGAAACATGCTGGACAGGCACAGCTGCAGCACAGCCTCCCGCATTCTCCCACTTTCCCTTGCTCACACCTGACAAAGGGACTTAATGAGAGTGTTGACCCTTAACTTACTGGGAAGGGAATTGATATGTATTGATTCCCAACCCCCACCCCATCCCCCCTGCACTCTCCATCCCCCACTCCCAAAGTGAGAGGCCTTGGATGATACACCACTGCCTTTCAGGTGGTAGTTAACTTCAAAGAAGAAAAACAAGAGCCTTGTGTTTGGGGTACACACTGGTCTTTGGGGGTACGGGCCTGACTCTGATGTGCTCTGCAGATGGCAGGATCCGGTTGGCTACACTGGAGCTGAGCTGCCTGCTCCTGAAGCAGCAAGTACTGACCAGCTCTGGCTGTGTCATCAAGGATGTGCACCTGGCCTGTCTGGAGGTGAGACCATGCCTTCCCGTTCCCTTCCTGTACAGTTGTCCCTCAGCTATGAGGCTGCTAGCACTGCCTGTTCTTAACATCCTCAACCTAGCTCAGGGAAGCTAAGCCTGAGATACCTGTGACCCCCGACACCCAACCCAAGCGCCTACTGAAGCCCACTTGTCCGAAGGTGCCTCTCTCCATCCAGACCACTGGAAGAGTCCCAAATTCTTGCATTGTAGTGGCTTATTTTGAAGTAATCTGCTTCTGGATTAGCCCTGGGAGTTTTCAGATGTTCCTTTTGTATGACAAAGCTTTTATACATGTAGAAACATATATTTACCTACTGTGTTTGTATGTGTGTGTGTGTGTGTGTGTGTGTGTGTGCGCGTGCGCGTGCATGAAGGTTCACCATATTGTGTCATTTTTCATTATTTTGTTCCCTGATTTTTAGAAAATGTAGGAAATGCAAAGGTGAAAAAGAACAACTGAGAGTTGACCCTTGGGTGTATCTGTTCTGATCCACCACATAGACACACATACACTGGTGAAAGAAGTTCCTGTTTTATTAAGGAGGGGCCATTACAGCTGCATTGAGTACTGACTCCCCTGTTTAACTGAGTCATCTGTTTCCCTTCAGATCTGCTTCCCTCACACCTTCCTTCTTCTTCAACAGGGTGCAAGAGAAGAGAGTGTCCACCTTGTACGTCATTTCTATAAGGTACGTGGCAGCACAGGTAGACAGTAGCATGGGGTATCTCTCATGGAGTATAGGGTGTGGAGTCTAGTGTTGTAGGCAGTGGTGTGGGGTACATATATGTGCACGTGTTTAAGTATGTGAGCTCTATGGTGTGCATGTACAGGTTAGAAGAGGACCCTGGGGAGCTGGTACACTCCTCCCACTGTGGGGTATGGGGTCAGACTTTGCTCGTCAGGCTTGCACCGAAAATGAGCTTACCTGCTGAGCCGTGCTGTGGGCCCTTTTAGTACTTCTCACACTTGTGAGTGTGGACGGTAGCACTCACTCCCACGTCTCTTACAAGAACAGTAACATTTCTGAGGACTTACTAGCTTATGGCCAATTATTTATCAGTTACTCACAGATTTACTGTAATTTATGAAATGTATGTGATGACAAAGTCAGATTCGTAAGTTATATCTCCTAATACATAGAAAACTACTATGAATCATCCATGATTTTTATCAATTACATATTGTGTAATATCTATAAGTATGCATGCTAAGAAAACTCATGTCAGCATCTGAAGTAACATCTTGAGTTTTGTGAGATGACCTTTAGCATCCAAAGGATTTAGAGACATTTATCTTCAGGTTCTTGCTTTAAGAGATCCAGTTAGACCAGTGTCATACGGTTTTGCTTGGCTTTGACCATAAGGCATGTCTAGTATAGTTGGGCTGCTCTGATAAAATCCCACCAGCAGCAGTCATTCCAGAGAAGTCCAAGATTAAGGCAGATTGGGGGGCAGATTGAGGCCGCTTTCTCACATGTGGATGAGTTTGGGGTGACTCAGATATTCAGCTGTAGAGGATTCATCCACATGGCGAGTCATCCTAGTGATGTCCTCTTGTGATCTCTGCAGGTCTTCCTGGTCCTAGTTCCCCTGAACAAGGCTCACACAGCTCCTGCTGGGCTGGGAGGTGGCAGCACTGCCTCCCTGTCCCACTGTCCTTGCTTACACTGCTGGTGCTTTGCACTCGGCCTGCCACCATTGTTGTCGGTGTTAAGTGAGCTAAGCCCAATCCTGTAATCTAAAACTCTACCTTTCCAGGACCAGATGACCTGATCCAGCTGCAGTTGTAGACATGCCCAGACAAAGGGGCAGCACTATGGGCTACCACACCCTGGGGAGGAAATCCCACATGCTCTTTGGAGAACTGCTCTTGGCCTTTAAGCAAGAGCATGCCCCTCTAGTCAGCCCAGAAGAAAAAAGAAACCCTAGGGCTGCCTAATCCTCTTTGGACCTCTTCCCCATAGAACTTCTAGAAATCTCTCTGCCCTTTAAACATGCTGATGTTATAAATACAGAAAGGCACAGAGTAGCCATTTCCCAGAGTCTGCCCCTTGGTCTGGAACAGAAGGAAAACTGCATTTGCATATTATTCCCAGCCCAGAGAGACAAGATGGTTCATGATGGTACTCAGTTCATGATGCAGGACAGTGGCAGCACTGACTTCTCCCAAGCCCCAATTGTGAGACAGGCTCTGAGGCTGTGCATTTTCTGTGCATTATTTTGCTTTCACAGTGAGTGGCCTGATAGACTTGGGCTTCAGCCTAGTCTTTTCTGGAACACACCACCTTCTGCCGTCCCATTCCTACAGTGAATCAGGTGGTGCTGGATTTTCCCCAAGTGGAGTCCTGAGCAGTCATTGTCCTTAGCAACCAAACACAAGACTTTCCTCAAAAACAGATGGAGCTAGCCATATAAACTTAGTGCTAGTGCTGGCGGTTGTGTCTCCCCACCCAGGCCTCACATGTTTAACATGGTGATTTGATAGCATTTCCCACTTTTCCAACCACTCTGGAGAAGTAAGTGATGCTAAGCACTTGAAATATTAACCTCGTCTATGTTTTAATTCTATATTATGTATTACCTTCTTTTGTTGCTGTTATGCTCTAATTAACTGATATGACTGAAGAAACAGCAGCTTTCAAGAGGTACTTTCAAAAGGAGGAAGATGCTGAGCAGTGCAATTTGATATTTGGCTTTTTATCTGCGCATGTGTGCTTACATTCACATGTGTGTTTTGGTTTCTGGGGATTTATGAGAACTTATAATGAAAAGCAGATGGCCTCCAAAGCCAAGCGCAGCCGTTGTAATGCTATGTTTATGGAGGTAGGATAAGCTTCTCTTTACTCCCTTCCTGTCTTTTCAGGGAGAAGAGATTTTTTTGGACATGTTTGAAGATGAGTACAGGAGCATGACAGTAAGTACAGAGCTAGAATATACAGAGACTAGTACATAAGAACATACAGAGACTAACTAGTACATAAGAACATA